CTGGCCTTGCTCTGCCAGGGAGCATGTCTGTGTTTCTGACCGACACCTTTGCCTGATGGGCTTGAGGTGAGGAGCTGGTGCTCGTTGAGTGAACTGACTCTTTGGGCCTCAGTTTCTCATCTGTGTATCGAGGGAGAGTTCTCCAAGCTCTGGTCCTCCAGCTGAAGAGAGGGAGGGTACACCCAACTCAGAGTGAAGAGTAGGACATGGACTGGACTCTGCAGTGAGCCCAGCTGAGACATGGGCAGTAGGGCAGAGCAGGGTCTTCCCCTCTTGGCCTCCCACCATTGCTGGGGCCATTTCGAGCCAGGACTGAGGCGTCCAGAATGAGGTGCCACTGCTAAGGCCCCTTCCCTTCCACCCCCACGAAGCAGATGGGCCAAGCTTGGGCGGGCGGCAGATACAGGCCTGGCATTTGTGTATGTGTGTGGTTTTTTTAAAAATCTGACACATTTTTGTCACGTCTTGGTTCATCAGAACAGTAAAGGAGGCGGGAGTGTGAAGAATGTTTTAACTCGCAACTTTGTAAGAGTTCCAGGTTCTCCGGGGCTCCTCCCCCTCCCTCAAAGCCCCCGCTGTGGAGCCTCCAAGCCCATCTGTTCTACAGTCCCTGCTCCCTGCCCCCATCCATCCCTCTTTCAGTGGAGAGGAGACATAATTGGAGGCAGTGGCTTGGGACTCTGAGACCCGCCCAGGCAGGGAGACAAGGATTTTTGCATCTCAGTTCTTCTGGACACAGACTTGCTGTTTGACCTTGTGTAATTTCTACACCCTATGACCCACTCCTGTGCTCCTGTAGGGTCTGGTCCACCGCCTTTGGGGTTCTCTGGCTCTGACATGCATAGAAATGTCTGCTAGCAGGGTGAGAAATAAGGAAGTTGACTTCAAACGGAAAGCTCGGGGTTCCTAGCCTCCAGAGAGAATGGATGCAGATAGATCAGCCTTCATACCTCTTCCTACCATTCTGCCACACCCACCCAGCTAGCCCAGGGCTAGCTGAAGTCTGAGGAGGCCACTCTGGGGTCAAGTGAGGAGGAGATGGAAAGTACCTGGGACTTGCTGCTTCTCTTCTGTTTTTGGTTCCACAGAACCAAGCAAAGTATGCAGGGCAGGTGCCAAGCCCTGGAAGATTGCTCCTTAGCCACCAGCCCTGCAGTCCCCAACCCTGGCACTAGTTTCCACTACATTAGTCATGGAAATGCCAGCTGGCCTGGAAAAGCAGGGTTGTCTACAAGGCGGGCTGGCAAGCACTGCCCTGGTGGGCATGGGAGGTTTGGGGCTAGGGAAGGGCGGTGCCCTAGGACATCTCAGCTAAGGCTTGAGCTGCCTCTTCATTCCCTGGTTCAGAGATCGGGGCTCTGGGCACCTTTCCCATTGCTTGGTGGGGGCGGGGCAGGTGATTATGGCGCCATTGCCAGGGACAAGAGAAATAGCCCCTGGCTCCACTTCTGTTCCCTGTGCCCTTCCAATACCTCATCAGGAACTCGCTAAGCCCAGGGCTTACATTAGAGAGCAGAGGCAGAGGCAGAGGCAGGTGAGCCCCACCTTGGAAAGCACCAGCTCATTACTGGCCACAGAGTCCTCCTTGTTGCTGAGGCAGCTCCGGTGTACCTGCCCACATCCTGGCACCCTGCACGGGCTGCCAAAGGGCAGTTGAGGGATCCAACGTGCCCCTCATGGCAGCCCCAGTCGGACCCGGGGCCGGCTGAGTCAAAGCGCCCTGCTCGAATCTCACCATATGGGCGCTGGGCGGCTGCAGGGGGTGGAGCTGGAGTTGCCATGAGAACCCGCACACTGGCATTTCCTCTTTTGGGAGGCTGAACCATGTTCTGCAGGCAGTGTAGGCTTCTGAATCCCATTTCTTTGTGTTTTTAGGAAGGGAAAAAGGGCAGGGGAAGGGGGTGGAAGAAGGCGAGGAGGGAGGGTAGCGGAGTCAGACTGACTGCTCGGAAGGCGCAGCTGGCTGTCTGCGGCTGTTGAGGATGGGTCAGGGGCCACTCTTCCCGTGGGCTCAGCCCAGGGCCAAAGCAGGGTCTCGGGTCCCTCCTGATCACTAGTTCTGGCCTTGAGTAAAATTTTCCCTAGATCACATGACCTTGCCTCCTGCCTGCTGCCTCTGTCGATTCCCTGGACCCTTCCTGAGGCCTGCACTCTCTCATTCCTGTCCCTGCTTGCTCAGCGCTGGTGAAAGTGGCATAGGAAACACATAGAAGTGGAGCACGCAGGCCACGCTGTTAAAACCTGCAATGGGCTAACAGCACCAACCCTGGGGCTTCATGTGTCCCTGGGGAGGGCCCAAGCACAGGTCGTTCTGTGACAATGTGACAGTCCAGGACATGGCTCCAGCAACAGGCCAATTAGAGACAGGGCCCCAATCCTAGAGGCAGTGTCCACCGGGATCGGGATGTGGTGTGGGGCCTGGTATGACCAAGCCCTGGGAGGAACTGCCCGGGCAGGGGAAAGAGTGAGGTGACCAGCAGGTAGGAAATTTGGGGCAGAGAGCCAGATGTGACCCACCCCACTTCTCCAGGCATGAGGCAGGTCAGACCACACTGCTGCCCAGTCTCCAGGGCCCATGAGATGAAAGTGTGCCCAAGGACTCCAAAGGAGGGACACCTGGCTTCCTTCCCATAAAGCCGTGGGATAGAGAGGTGGGGCAGTGGACCCGCCTCTGGTAGCAACAGAGCCTGGGTGTGAAGGCCTACTGTGTGCCAAAATCTCACTTAGTTCCTGAAATAACTGGGGGGGGTGGCAGTATTTGACACCTAAATGGACTGAAGCTCAGAAAAGACTTGCAGTTCATCAGAGTCACCCTTCTAAGGAGCAGCACTGTTAGGGTGTCCAACCTCTGACCTCTGACCTTCAGACCTCACCATCATGCATCTCCAGCAGACCACTGTGGAGGCTGCAGGGCAAAGTGCTCGGAAAGAGTAGAAGATGAGGAGATGAGGACAGTGTCAGAACCTGTGCCCACTGCCTAGGGACACTGCCTGACCACCTCTGTGTAGGCACCAGAGCCCAGCTTGAAAAGGACATGGTGCTGGCATCACATGGATTGCGACCGAGTCCTGTCCTGACTGCTTACTCATCCTGGCTCCCACAGCATGTTGTTAAACTTTTCTCAACCTCCATTTCCCCATCCGGAAAAGGGGGCCACAGTGGCCCCATACCAGTCAACAAGACGACTAAACTCCTGAGACTTCAAACAACACCAGCTCCTTTCTCAGCCTGTTACATGGATTAGCTGGTTCTTGTTGTCACTCAAGACCCCAGGCTGATGGCTATGCACTATTTTAACATGCATATCCAGTTGCCATGATAGCAGGAAGAAGCATGGCCAGTTTCTCTTGTGACTCATGTAACTTCCACTGAAACGTCCTTGGTCAAAGCATGTCATGAGCCACATGTAACTCCAAAAGGGACAAGGAGGTACAATTCTTAACCACATGCTTAAAGAAAAAAATCACCTAGAGAATTGGTAAACATCTCTTCATGATGGCCTCAGGCACCTGCCACACAGGGATGCCGTGAGCATTGAGTGAACTAATGAATGGGAGCTCCTCTCCCCTGGGCTTCCAACTCCAAGGGGACCCACCTCCCTCACTTCCCTGTCCTGGCCATGTCCCTCAGATAAAGCATCAACATTGACAACCCCTACTTCAGAGATGAAGACCTTTAGCTTTGGAATGGAGACAGATGGCAACTTCCCCAGGGTATGGCATGATGGCAGCTGGGGCAGGAAGAACAGACAGGTGCCTCAGTCTGCTGAATTCCTTTTCCAGCTCAGAACCTCTTTTAACAAATGAAAAAGCAGCAGATCCTTGTAATACCTTAACTCTATTAAGGACTTCATAAGACCCAGATCAAATTACATCTCCTGCAATCGAACAGTAAATCCGATTCCATTCAACACCACCAGGGCCTAGGGGGTCTGGGTAGCCCACTTGGCTGGGGACCTGCCTCTCAATTCACAGGAAGACAGCACCCTCCCTGGCATAGGTCTGCCTTAGAGTTTAAGGTCAGTGAGTGAAGAGGGACTGGTGTGTGAGGAAGGGTGGGAAGGAACAATGACTTGGGGCTTTGGAGCACTCAAGCCCACATGGGCAGAACAGAAAACCGGGTTTCCAGACACCTGGAATCCAAAGCCACCGTGCCTCTAGACCTGCGAGCACAGCCACAGGGCTGTGGCTTTGGGCAGACCATTCTCTTTGGGTTTCAGTCTTCCATCAGAAATATGCTCAGTCTCCATCCCCACCTCTGACCTTAGGCTTCTGAGGGCCTTACCCATCTTCCCTGCCTTTGACCTTTCCTCACTGGCCAGACCCTGTGTGCTAGAGCCTGCTCTGTCCCACAGGAACTCAGACATGGAGCACAGAGACTGAGCCTCTGTGGCAGATGAGTGGCAGACATCACCCAGAGGAAATGATTTAGTTGTTCTAGACACACACACACACACATACTCACACTCACACGCATTCCACATGCCTTCCCCAGCTGCAGCCACAGGCAGGAGATGGTGGGTTTGAGAAGAGAGAACTAACTATCAACCACTGTCTCACAGTGCACTTCTGAGTTCACAGGGACTCTGGGATGAGACCCCTGTAGGAATGAACCCCACAAAGCTGGCACAGGTAGATATAAAAGGAAGTGAAAGGAAAAGGAACCTCCCTTTTTTCTCTTGGAAGCCAGCCACGCTTCTAACTCCTGGTTTGTGCGACTCTCTCTCTCTCTCTCTCCCTCTGGTAAATACATATATTGTTTTCCTTATAGCATCGAATATCCTCTTTAGACCCCCTTCTACACAATGAATCCCCAGCAGCAGCAGCAGTAGAACCAACTCCTCTGGCACTTTCCATTGATGGAGCACTTGGTGTCTGCCTTCTTGTTTGATCCCCACAGTGGCCCTGTGAGGGATGCTGTTGTCCCATCAAGTCTTGAAGTCCGTAATGATCCATCCTCACACTGGCTGACTCCCTGGTCTATTTGTGCCTGCCTTTCAGGGGTCACGTGAGCCTCCCTCTGGGATCTGGCATGAAGGAGAAATGGATTCTGGATTTTCCACTCTGGCTTCCCCTGACTTCTCCAGAATTTAAGAAGCATCCTGAGGCCTCTCTTGCTCAACCTCAGCCCAGAATCCCTGAGGATCAACCCAGAGACCCGAAGACTTCAAGACCTAAAAACACCAAGCCCCTTTCCCTGGACACAGACTGGACAGAACTAACTAGTTCATCAGGTAAAGATGCCAGCATGGCACTGACCAGACTGATGCCACCATCTTTTATTTGGGTGAATTCTGATGATCAAGCATACAGAAGCTTGGGTGTGCTTGCTCTCCATTTGAAGCTGTTTTTGGGATGTGATTTCAAGAATAGAGAGAGAGAGAGAGAGGGAGGAAGGGAGGGAGGGAGGGAGGGGGAGAGAGAGAGAGAGAGAGAGAGAGAGAGGGAGAGAGGGAGGGAGCACATGCATCGGGGTCCTTGCTTGTCAGTGCTAATCATCACTGAAAGAAACCCTGGGTCAAGATGGTCCCAGTACCAACCACAACTTGATACACATTTAGGATTTGGTTATTTGATCTTCAAAAGGAGTCAGGGCCATTTTTCTAGATCTTGCTTGTTCATATTTCTGGGTATGGCCCAGGTCATGCAACTCTCAGATTCCTTTAGCCTCCCAGCAACACTATCACCTGCCATTTTTAGATCAGTTGGGTTTCATTAGCTTGTTTAGCTCTTTCAATACCAGGCTGCAAATTAGCGGAGAGAAGGTGTTAACTGCCTCCCAGGTTCCCATGCAGCTTTCTGAATGCTGTTCATTCAGTCTCTGTCATTCATTCACTTACTCAGAACGTATTGATTGACTGTCACGCCCTGGGATGCAGGGGTGCCAGAGGCAGAGCTTGCAGGTGCAATCCACAAACAGAGAGCTCACTCTTCCTTCAGTTTGTTCCCAAAACAAGGCCTCTGTGGGGCTAGGGAGGCAGCTCTGTGCTATGCAAGTGTGAGAGTGAATCCAAATCCTCAGAGCCCACGAGAAGGCCATAATCCCTGTAGATTCCCTGGTTCCCCAGAGCAAGCCATCTGGTTAGACATGGGCAACCTTGGGATTCAACTAAAAGACTCGGCCTCGACAAGTAAGGTGGAGAGCAGTCAGGGAAGACCCCTGACACCAGCCTCAGGCCTTCATATGTCCGTATGCATATGTGCAGTTGCACAGGCAGACAAAGAAGTGCTTCTGTGTATGAGTGTCCCTGCATGGGTGGATCTACCAGAGCTGGTTTTCCAATGAAAGCTTTCCTTCTCCATGCATCTTTCTGGCTGACCCTGGCCTGTGGAGCCCACCACTGAGGCTAAATGTATTCTAGATTCAGCCCAGGGAACACTGGCTCAGCAGAGGCTCAGGGTGGCTGAGGACAGCTACCAAAACCAAGCCTGTACACACAGCCTGCTCATCACCTCCCCTTATCCCATCCTCTGTGCTGTCCACACATGGCCTCTCTTCTCTCTGTGACAACCGTTCCGTCTGCCTTTACTGTGCCCCACCCTGAGACTACCACTGCACAACTCCTGTCTGTCCTTTTCCCACCTTTCAAGCGACTTCCAGAACAGGAGGAAAATGGGATTCAGGGTAAAGGTCCTGCCTGGATTGGACCCAGATCTAGCCTCTCAACTCCAATGGGCTGACTCACAGAGCCTGCAGGGTCCAGGTTGCCCCCTGCTGGATGCCCAGAGTTGCCATGGTGACTCTCTGCCTGTCTCCCCAGCATGGAGACAATCAAAAAATAACAGCCAGGACTCTTTTATTCTCTGTCCCACCTGGGAGCCATTTAAGCTTCCCTTTTCCTTTTGACACATATTAATTTCTTTTTTGGCTCTTAAGATTTTCTTGAAATCTTCCCTCACTTTTAGGTTCAATGGCATGGCCTCCAAGAGCCTTCGATCTTACACACACACACACACACACACACACACACACACACACACACACACACAGCACTTGTTTACACCCCACACTGGAAACAGCACGTTGGCCTCCTGGTGCTTCAACAGCAGAGCTACAGGGCAGGCATGACCCTTCTCTTTGTCTGAACTTTACAGTTATCAAACAAGTCTCCTGTCTAATATCATGCAGACCCATACGGGTGCCCTCATCTCTATGGTTGTCTATGAGTAGACAGGGTTACCTGATGTCTAAGCAGGGCTGGAACTAAACCTTCCAAACCTTTCTTTTGCCCTCCTTGTTTTCCCCTTGCCCCACCATGAGCAGTGTTGGGAGCTGCAACACCCAGGGAACCCCACAAAGCCCTTACCACCCTCCTGGTTGCCTTGGTTTCTGACCTCTCCGTTGGAACCTTCTGCACCCATGCTTTGGGACCAGCTGGCCAAGCACTTAGCAACTACCTATCCCCAGCTTGCTCTCTGACCATCCCACTCCATGCCCTTCAGTCCTTCCTTGGCTGTGCCCTGGTTTCTGTTCTTCCCAAGCGACAGGTTTTTAGCTGACCCCTCTGTCATACTGAAGAATGGCACTGATGTTAAACATGGGCATCACCACATAGTCTGTCTGTGTTTTAGATTCATGAGCAATTTCATAGGCCTCATGTTGGTCAAAAGCATGCCCACTGTGTGGTTAAAACACTTACACACTGGGCAGCCAAGGAGGGTTCTGAGTCTAGAGAAAATGCAGACCTCTGTCCTTGTAATTCCCATGTCTGCTCCAAGTGAGGGAAATTCTTCAGATGTATCTTGAAGGCACTTACTTCCCTCACACACACGAGTGTGTGTGTGTGTCTGTGTCTGTGTCTGTGTGTGTCTGTGTCTGTGTGTGTTGTTGCTGCTGCTGCTGCTGTTTTATTTCAGTGTAGAGGACTGAATTCAGGGTCTTGCCCATGCTAGGCATGTTCTCTTTCATTGAATCATGCTCTTATCCCTTCCTAGCTTTGGAATGTAATTGCACAGATCAAGCTCTACCACACGATTAGTGAGACAGCTCAATCAGTAAAGTGCTTGCAAGGACCCGAGTTCAATCCCCAGAACCCACGTTAAAAAAAAATCTAGCATGGAAGTACATATTCACATTCCCAAAGGAAGAGAGGCAGAGACAGTGAGCCTTGTGACCCATGAGAAACCCTGTCTCAAAATACAAGGTAAGCAACACCTGAGGAACAACACCTGAGGCTGACCTCTGACCTACACACACACACACACACACACCCCAATACAAAGACCTATAATAGTGGGTGCAGACTGAGAGCCTATAGCCCTGTAGGGGGTCCAGAAACTGCTCAGTATTCTGGGGACATTAGTGGTGACAGCAGGTTTAAGTGCCAGGTCTGGTCTCTGTTGTCCTTCTCTTCAGACCCTCTGTTTAGCAGGGGAATGGGGAGCACACTAGGACTCCAGAGCAGCAGGCCCCTGCCTTAGATCTGCAATCCCGCACGATTAGGTAGAGTACCCCTTGGGAAGGGGCACAGGCAGGCCAACACTGTACTTGTGGCTCAACCCATTTTACTTGTTCTCTGAGACTCAGTGTACCCTGGCTCCCCTCTTCACAGTAAGGTCACTGAGACCCAAAGGGGGTGACCAGAGGCTGAGGAGATAGGCTTGGCCTTCTGCGCACCCTCCCCCTCAGGCCCTAGAATTCAAGGTCAGGCCTGGCACACTACAGCAATCAGTCAGTGTGGGATGTAGCCTAACCCCAGTGTAAGACTGTGGGAAACTGTGACATCCAGTCTCACTTAGGGAGGGAGGGACATCTTTCAGAATAGCCATGTGCACATTTGAGCCTTGTTTTCCTCTCTGCCAAGTGTCACCGACAATGCGTCTCACTCGGGACCTTTGCATGTTCACATCAGCCGCTGTGCTTGCCTTAAATGCTTGCTTTTGTGTGGATGTAAACTCATGGCTACTGTATCTAGGTGGTCTTGGGGCTCAGCTTCCTCATCTGTAAAATGGGATTGATGATGCTCTGAAGGACCCAATACCAAGCCCCTCCCCCTCTACCACCATTCCTTTCCCAGAGCAGAGCCCCAGGAGGAGACAGGGAAACAGACACCTTCCTGTCTGTCTGTCAATCCATCTGCAATGGTGGCATCAGTTTTCATAGAGGAGGGGAATCTGCAAAGTAGTCAAAAAAATATTTCCTCTGTGACTCCAGCAGCCCAGCTGTTCTCTTTCAGGAAAAGTGCTGAGGGCTGAAAATACAGGAACAATGATAGAGACGGGAAAGTGGGGTGGGGGAGGACAGACCGAAGGGAAGGGCATGGGGCGGGCAGCATGGAGTACAAGGTTTCCTTTCCTGGGCCACCTGGGACAGCGTTCAGCAACACTGCCATTTGCCCGGCAGCTGCTGGGATCCATGGCCACCAGTGTGCCTGCCCTGTGGAACCTGGGTTCAAAGGCCTCACTAATGGAAAAAGACACATGTCACCACCAGCACTGTCGTTGTGTTTGTGAGTCATCCTGCCCCACCTGGCATGGAGTTAGAGAGGTGCCGTGAGTTGGGGGAGGTCCTGTGGAGAACATTCATGCTTACTCAGCCTCTAGACCCAGTCAGGACCATCATGGCCCCTCCACAGGCCTTGTTCAAACTGGGCTCTTCCAGCCTTCCCGTTTCGTTCTTGCTCCTCCTCACTCTGCAGGCTGGGTCCCATCGCTCCCACAGGCTCCTTGGATTCCTCCCTGCAGGACTCCCTCTCTCCTCCTCGTAGCTCTGACCACTCTCTGCCTATCGGATGCTCTTCTGCTCTGGCCTGTGCTGCCACAATAAACCTGGGTGCCCTCAGCTCTCACTCCCGGTACCAGCCGGCCAGGTCTGGCATAGACAAGCCTCAGACTGAGAGCTTGGGGCTGGTGTTCTTAGCTGGCCATCCCTACCCTGCCTACCTCTCTGGACGCCTACTAGCATGGCCACTGGGGAGACTGGCCTCTTAGCTCCATGTCAGTAATACAGGTAGTTAGGCCACAAGGGGCTGGGTCCCTGCGTTCTTCAAGAGATAAGTTCCCTGACTGTCACTCGCTCCTCTGTGACCTTGGGTGACTCCCCTGCCTCCCCATGCCTCTCCTCACTATGTGGTAGGGACGCCAGCACACCTTCCTAGGACTGAGGAAAGCATGAGGAGTTACTGCCCTGGCAGTAACTGGGCCGTAGCACCTGAGGGCACAGACTGAAGGCCTGGCAGTGCCCCCAAGGTCACTGTCTGCCCTCTGGCCCCGTGTAGAAGAGCATACCCTTCCC